GGAGAGGGGAAAGGGAAGGGGGAAAGGGGAGCAGTCCTTAAACGGCAGACGTGGTACTACTCTTTTCTACACTTCCTTCTCCCAGTCGGTTTTCCCGCCTCCGCCACACCCCGCGGCCTTTACGATTGGCTTTTCCCCCACTACACCATTGCCTTCCTAATTTCCTAATTTACTCCTCCCCGCTCCTCTCCTCCCCCCTTCACGTGCTTCTGCTTCTGCTTCTGCTTCTGCTCGATCGCTCAGCGAGGCGCTGATTTAGAAACACTTCCTCCCGGTTTCCGTTGTGCATTTGGAACTGTTGAAATACAGACCAGCGTTCGAGTCCAGATCAACCAGATGAACAGAATCAATTACTTCTGAATTACCTGACACCAGTCAGCTAAATGACGATACCGCGAGGTCGTCAGTCGCCCTTTCAAAAAAAACAAAGAAAAGGAAGACAAACGCCCAGATTCCCCACCGGATTCCCGTTCCACACAGCCGCCGCTGAGTCGTCGCGAATGACCTCTGCTTTCGCCGTAAGCCATCACTACCGGTAGGGTACGGCCACAACGCGCAGCCGACTGACACCCTTCCGACGACACACCTTTCGCTCGTACCCCTCCTCCTCCTCCTCCTCCTCCTCCTCCTCCTCCTCCATCATCATCATCATCATCGAAAGCGTAGTCATTCATCGTCCCCGTTGTCGTAACACCCGCCGCCGCCATACTGACGTGGCATCCTCCAATTCCCCTTACCGGATGAGACACGCGCACGTGCGCAAACGACGAGATGGCCACCACTCACAATCACCTCTTCTTCTCCCAGCTCCCCCTTGCTGCTCTTAAACTCCCTTATTACTGCTCAATCCATTATTGTTGCCCATTCGACATTCATGTACAAAATCGTGCGAGAGTGGAATTTGGATGGACCCGACGGTGGCAATGGAAAGAGAACAGCGATAGGGCCGGCAACTGCCACGGCGAACGCCACAGAGGTGGGGAAGCCTTTATTCGTAGGCCGATGGCGATGACGGAGTGTGGTCCCAGCTGCGGCAAGCAGGGTCGCAGAGAAACGACCACCATGGAGATGGAGATGGCGATGGAGGCATGACGATGGCCACAGAGACGGTTTTGGGAAGTGTGCATAAGAGGATGCACACGCCGAGCCCGCCATGGCGATGGCGATGCGCTGGCTATGGTGAGGAAAACCGCTATGGTCGTGATCATTGCCAAGGCAACGTGACGGTTCCCGCAGCGCACTAATGACGTTTGCCCCAAAAAAACGGTCCATGTGCCCGACGCTATTCTCCCCCAGAGGGCAGAAAGAGAGAGAGGAGGGAGAGAGAGAGCATTTTCTCCCGGAGGGTAGAAGGGGGGAGAGACCGAGAGAGAGCATTTCCTCCCGGGGGACCGAAGGGGAGGTGGGGAGAGAGAGAGAGAGAGAGAGAGAGAGAGAGAGAGAGAGAGAGAGAGAGAGAGAGAGAGAGAGAGAGAGAGAGCATTTTCGGGTTTCCGTTGATGGAGGTTGGTTTTGTGTTAGGTACAATTATTTTCACCAATCTCTCTTGTAAAAGTCCATTTATTCCACCTTTCTCCCAAGAAAGTTGCAGGGGATGTTGTTTGTCACAATTTTTATTTTTATTTTTATTTTTTATTTTTATTTTTTTTAACTCTTTTTACCTTCGAGCGGGCGTCTTTTCCTGGCCCTTGCTTTTTGTTCTCTTCGAACAGTGCATTGTCGTACGATGTTGTCATATTCGGCCTCGATGGCTGACCAGAAAACGTCATCGGCGCGTACGTGTTTTTACTCTCCGCACCGGACGGCGACGATGAATTCCCATCCACCCCAGCCCCACCCGCTGTGCGTCCATGAAGCGCGTTGTTAATTCGAACGACATGTTTGTCATCCGCATCCACATTGTCATCCACATCCCCATTCCCATCCACCCCAGTGGCCGGTGGGGGCCCATCATCATCATCCCCCTTCATCACTTGTTTCTGCTTTGGAAATAACGACCCTTGACCGTGGGTGGTGGGCGTTTGATCGTTCGCAGACGACGGTGGATTTGTCGGCTTTCCATCTTTCCGTACGAGTCCATCACTGCCCATTCTAGTGACAGTGTATGCTTGTCAGAGCACTCTACATGAGGCCGATTGTTACGCAGTTGTCCGTTACCGGTTCCGTTACCGGTTCCGTTGACGGCTCCGTTATCGAACCCGTTAAGCTTTCCCTTGATCCGTGTGAGCATGGGTGTGGCGAGCTGTGCGATCACCTGTGTGCCGATTTCTGCGTTCGGTTCTCAGAGTCAAGAATGTTCACCCGCTCG